GCCCTCTGTAGAGAGGAGGCCCTGTAGCTTCTGTAGTTAAGAGGCCCTGTGAAAAGAGGAGGCCCGCAGTAGAGATCGGTGGTCCTCTGTAGAGAGGAGGCCCCCTCTGTGTTTTGACAAATGTTTTTGCAAATTTTTCGCGGCGCTTCGCGCCGCCGATTTATGTACATACGTACAGGTCAATACGAAATCTTGACTGTAATTACATAAACCAACCGTGTCAAATTGAATCAGAATTCATATGTGTGCTGTAAAGGAACTCCGGCTTGTACTGCAATGCTAAAAGGGTGGTAAAATTTGTGTTTTGGAGCTGTGTTTCGACACATTCTTTTGCAAATTTTCTCGGCGCTTCGCGCCGCCGATTTATACACCAATCAATAAGAGAGAAATAACAGTGACTGTAATAACACCAACCGTGTCAAATTGAATCGGAATTCATATGTGTACTGTGAAGGAACTCCGGCTTGTACTAGCATGCTAAAAAGGTTGTAATATTTGTGTTTTAGAGCTGTGTTTTGACAACTTTTTTTTGCAAATTTTTGCGGCGCTTCGCGCCGCCGATTCATACACAGGTCAATAAGAGAGATCGTGACTGTATGCTACTATTTACTAATGCATTAGGCTAAAAGTGAGGTAACTATATCTACTTCTGGGTTTTTAAGTCGGTCGACCCGCCTCCCCCCCCCCCCCCAGTAAAAAATCCGTGGCGACGCTCCTATATAGGTGGGTTTCACTAACTAAAACTACTGAGCCGAGTGACTTACGATAAAACTTCATCTTATAAACGACGAAGATCAAATGTCATTTTTTGATCTCGACATACTCGCTCCCTACCCCCCCCCCCCCCCCGGTCGTCAGAATTCATTCACCAGACCTGGTATGTCGGCCGACTGGTGACCCCCCCCAAAACGACCCCCTAGATCCGCCCTTGCCCACATTGCACCACAATTGTCTGGGTTAGACCTCGGCGGGACACGGAACTCTGCCGCGACTTGGCAGTGTCTCCAGCGCGCATCATGGGCACCGACAGCAGTGCGGCAATGTCTCCCGCCTCCCCAAGTCCCCAACGAAGGCGCACGCCGCCCGGCGCTGAGCCGTCCGCCCGTCTCCAGCGCATGATGAACCCGCTCTGGGTAGGTAGGCTGTTCCGCCGGGCTCCGGAGTAGTGCGGCACAGCCTACCTGTCAGTGATCCCAGTCTCAGCCGTTCAGTCCACTGACGGCGGAACGGCAATGCGACACAACGCGAAATACATGAGGAAAGTAGATGAGTTGAGCTGCTGAGCATCACCAGCAGTTGTTTGTTTATTGGAGCTTTAGGGCGCGCCGACTACTAGGGTCATTTCGCGCCCATGCATTACCATATACCAGCAGATCTGTGCCATATTCAGATTCTAAATTTAAAATCCGTTTGAAATATGCATTTACGGCTGCGCATGTTGTAACTGCGTTGTTTCACAGAGGCCAGAGCCCAGATAGTCTTCTCTATGGATATGAGATGTCTACAGTTGTGTCAACTACCCCTACCGCCTACCGTTGTATCGTCTCACAATTGTCAAAGCCGGGCAAATTTTACCTTTGGCCTGATATAGGTCCGGTGACCTGATCCATAAGAGATAAAGTGCCTTTCTCGTAAATTTTTGTTGATGAGACTTTTCAATTCAATTACAATTATGAAAACAATCCAACGACCACCCTAAAATTTTATATAGGTAGCTTGTATAGTCAGTCTTGAAAGAGAAGTGCATCGGTGCGATGAATCCATAAAGCCCAACTGAAAAAAAAAATGTCCGTCAAGACAGCCCATATTCAGCCCGGATTCAGCCCGGATTCAGCCCAGATTCGGGACACCTCCGATCAAGCTGAAACTCGCACACAATGTAGGTCCTGACATACCCAATCCACAGTCCGAGTCATTCGTCGGCACTCCCAGCCGTTTGACCTACAGAGGTCAGCAAAGGTCACGTGGCCCAAATTTGCACAGCAGATTGTGGCCCACCCAGTAGAGCTAGAGCGCTAAAAATGGCACCAATCGACTCGCCAGCATCTAATCTTACTTTCCCAACACCCATTTGACCTCTCGAGGTCATGCGATGACCTAAGGTCATTTGTGGGCTATGTCGAAAATACAGTTACACAGCAGTTTTCGAGTAGAGGAATTGACCGAATTCCAAATCAAAGCAGATCATCGGGTAGCCCATAGGCCGCAGTAACTTTCCTTAAAAACCGCTTCTCGATATGTGACCCCGTTTGACCTCGGCAGGGCAAAATGTACAAATAAACGACACTCCATACGTCGCAGCCCGGATTCAGCCCAGATTCGGGACACCTCTGATCAAGCTGAAACTCGCACACAATGTAGGTCCTGACATGTCCAATCCACAGTCCGAGTCATTTGGCGGTACTCCAAGTCGTTTGACCTACAGAGGTCAGCAAAGGTCACGTGGCCCAAATTTGCACAGCAGATTGTGGCCCACCCAGTAGAGCTAGAGCGCTAAAAAAGGCACCAATCGACTCGCCAGCATCTAATCTTACTTTCCCAACACCCATTTGACCTCTCAAGGTCATGCGATGACCTAAGGTCATTTGTGGGCTATGTCGAAAATACACTTACACAGCAGTTTTCGAGTAGAGAGATTGACCGAATTCCAAATCAAAGCACATCATCGGGTAGCCCATAGGCCATAGTAACTTTCCTTGAAAACCGCTTCTCGATATGTGACCCCGTTTGACCTCGGCAGGGCAAAATGTACAAATAAACGACACTCCATACGTCGCAGCCCGGATTCAGCCCAGATTCGGGACACCTCCGATCAAGCTGAAACTCGCACACAATGTAGGTCCTGACATGCCCAATCCACAGTCTGATTCATTCGGCGGCACTCCGAGCCGTTTAACCTGCAGAGGTCAGCAAAGGTCACGTGGCCCAAATTTGCACAGCAGATTGTGGCCCACCCAGTAGAGTTAGAGCGCTAAAAATGGCACCAATCGACTCGCCAGCATCTAATCTTACTTTCCCAACACCCATTTGACCTCTCAAGGTCATGTGATGACCTAAGGTCATTTGTGGGCATGTCGAAAATATGACCTCGCATGACCTTGAGAGGTCAAATGGGTTTAGGGAAAGTAAGATTAGATGCTGGCGAGTTGATTAGTGCCATTTTTAGCGCTCTAGCTCTACTGGGTGGGCCACAATCTGGTGTGCAAATTTGGGCCACGTGACCTTTGCTGACCTCTGTAGGTCAAACGGCTGGGAGTGCCGCCGAATGACTCGAACTGTGGATTGGGCATGTCAGGACCTACATTGTGTGCGAGTTTCAGCTTGATCGGAGGTGTCCCGAATCTGGGCTGAATCCGGGCTGCGACGTATGGAGTGTCGTTTATTTGTACATTTTGCCCTGCCGAGGTCAAACGGGGTCACATATCGAGACGCGGTTTTTAAGGAAAGTTACTACGGCCTATGGGCCATGACATGGCACCAATCGACATGATGTGCTTTGATTACGAATTCGGTCAATTCCTCTACTCGAAAACTGCTGTGCAAGTGTATTTTCGACATAGCCCACAAATGACCTTAGGTCATCGCATGACCTTGAGAGGTCAAATGGGTGTTGGGAAAGTAAGATTAGATGCTGGCGAGTCGATTGGTGCCATTTTTAGCGCTCTAGCTCTACTGGGTGGGCCACAATCTGCTGTGCAAATTTGGGCCACGTGACCTTTGCTGACCTCTGTAGGTCAAACGGCTGGGAGTGCCGCTGAATGACTCGGACTGTGGATTGGGCATGTCATGGCCTACATTGTGTGCGAGTTTCAGCTTGATCGGAGGTGTCCCGAATCTGGGCTGAATCCGGGCTGCGACATATGGAGTGTCGTTTATTTGTACATTTTGCCCTGCCGAGGTCAAGCAGGGTCACATATCGAGAAGCGGTTTTCAAGGAAAGTTACTACGGCCTATGGCCTACCCGATGATCTGCTTTGATTTGGAATTCGGTCAATTCCTCTACTCGAAAACTGCTGTGCAACTGTATTTTCGACATAGCCCACAAATGACCTTAGGTCATCGCATGACCTTGAGAAGTCAAATGGGTGTTGGGAAAGTAAGATTTGATGCTGGCGAGTCGATTGGTGCCATTTTTAGCGCTCTAGCTCTACTGGGTGGGCCACAATCTGCTGTGTAAATTTGGGCCACGTGACCTTTGCTGACCTCTGTAGGTCAAACGGCTCGGAGTGCCGCCGAATGTCTCGGACTGTGGATTGGGCATGTCAGGACCTACATTGTGTGCGAGTTTCAGCTTGATCGGATGTGTCCCGAATCTGGGCTGAATCTGGGCTGAATATGGGCTGTCTTGATCAACATCTGAAAAAGGCTGCTAAATTCGAGTTACCGAACAAATTGACCTGGGGATGGATGATGATGTCAGTTGGTTCAGTGACTCTCAAATTCAACAACCCTTCCTCGGTCGGGCTTGATGGATCTACCGCACATGTGCGGTAGTTTCAAGACTGACTGTATAATTCTTAATCAGATGTAATTTTCTCCTGGTCTAAAAGACAGTCTTAAGTTTTCATTTATTTATTTTGCAACGCCACACCACTACATCCCATTTTCGGCCGGAACGTGTCGTAACTGCGCCTCCCCTGTCAGCAGAGATTTTGGGAACGTTCACTGCATTAAGGCGCCGACTATGGTCAACAAGGCACGATGGCAGTGATGATGCAACGATGCAGCGAAGCGATGCATGAATAGGTCTCACTCAGCACCATGGCGATAGCTTCATTGCTACTTTTAATTGCAGCGAGCCGATCAAGGACTTGACACATGCCCCCAGACAAGGGCGGCTCAATGCGAAAGCCGGGGCTCCAGATTTCCGGCCCGGGAAAAACCAGTAATGCACGAAATATGGCGGCGCTGAAACAAATCGCCTCGACGTCGGCGCATTCACCCCTGGCTATGATAGCGTACCGCTTGCCGTTTCACGTTTTCACTTTGAAATACGCTAGTTGAACAATTCCTTTGTATTCATCCAGCTACTCATAGGTAGTTGACTGACGATCGCGCAGAAGCCCCTGAGGCTATCCCAGACAGCCCCTCTGGCCAGAACGCACCGGTTAACACATGGCGCGCGCTCCAGCGCAGGGTTACAGGTCAGTTGGAGCACCTCGGCGGAGGCGGCGGTCACTACACGGCAGAGACAGACGGCCCCGGACGCCCCGAAAACAGCCGGGGTTGGTCGGCCCGTCCAGCGGAGACGGCGGGACGGGCAGCCCGGCGCGAGCTACTCCACACAGCACCAGCATTGCATTGATGAGTTCAGCGGTCTCGACATAATGGCCATTCCCAGCACGGATCTCCCCGTTCTACTATTGCATCGTAAATGCACTTCCCAACTAGGCAGTGCTGAGGTATAAATCTTTTTTTTTGTCTAGGAAGCCGGAAGCTAGTTGATCACCTCAGCAGCGTGCGATGTAAATCAAGTCCAGACAGAAAAATAGCCCTGCCGCAAAAGGCCCCTAAATCTGGCTTTCATCGCCAAAAGCGGTTCAACGCCCAATGGACATAAATCTCTCATTATAAACCCTAACAACCCGACTGACACCCCACCGGCCGGTCTACAGTTTGGCGAAGTCGGGCGGCGGCGCCTTGCGGTCCATGGCGGCGGTGGCGGCCTTCATAATGTCCTCCGACTGGAGCATGACGCCGTTCCAGGCCACCATGTGGTCCAATCCCTCCTGGACAGAGTGGTCGCGCGAGTAGGTCAGGTTCAGCTTGGTCGACTGCACCGCCACCGGCGACTTGGAGGCGATGGTGGCGGCCAGACTGAGCGCCGCCGCCGTCAGACTGAGGGATCGCAGTCAGTGTCAGTGGTGTCAGACTGAGGGAGGGCAGTCAGTGTTAGTGGTGTCAGACTGAGGGAGGGCAGACACTGTCAGACTGAGGGAGGGCAGTCAGTGTCAGACAGAGCGAGGGCAGACAGTGTCAGACTGAGGGATGGCAGTCACTGTCAGTGTCAGACTGAGGGAGAGCAGTCAGTGTCAGACTGAGGGAGGGTAGACACTGTCAGACTGAGGGAGGGCAGTCAGCGTCAGACTGAGAGAGGGCAGTCGGTGTCAGACTGGGGGAGGGCAGTCGGTGTCAGACTGAGAGAGAGAGAGAGAGAGAGATTTCTATATTTGCAGACTCGAGGTCCAATAAAAAAAAAAAAAAAACAGGCACATGTAAGTAAAAGATCACTGATCAGTGATCGGCTATATGCTAAATACAATCAGCTATATGCAAACAGTGCAGTGGACCAGGTCTGTCGAATTGACGACAAAACGCGAAGATCCCCATGAAATAGGGATGCGATGATGCCATTGCGAGATTGTCCGATACGAGTCATGAAGCCGAAAACAGCTTTCCGGTACATAGCCCAGAAGTTATCAATGCGCTCATTCACATACATAGATGAGGCACTACTAAAGCGGTCATAACCAAAGAACATTCTAGCAGCGTTATTGAAACAAACTACGAATTTACGCAGAACAGCAGCACGATGAGAATGCCAAAGATGAACACCAGAAACATTCGAGCAATACATGGAATACAAATACTTCTTCACTTGATAAGTACAGAGAGAGAACTTTCTGATCAGCGAATTGGCTCGACAACACAGAAGACGATACTGGTGCTGCACCTCCAGATCATCAGATTTTGTTGGGACATTGCTCACTTCAAAGCCAAGATATTTATACCTATTCACATAAGTGAGCACAGTACCATTCAAGACTATATCTGGTAAAGACATATTTTTAAACAAATTGGGCAGAATAGCCATGCATACCGTCTTTTTTACATTGAAAACAATATCATGTGCATCGGCATATCTAGCACAAATGTCAAGCAATTTTTGCAGTCCTTGAGGCGTTGGCGATAGCAGTACCATGTCATCTGCATAACAAAGGTGATTAACACTGCCCAAATAATGACAACCAGCACCACTACTGTCTAATTTTTTAGACAGCTCATCAATGTACACGTTGAAAAGATATGGGGACAAGATACCACCTTGCCTGACGCCATTGGACACATGAAAGCCTTCCGACAAACAGGTGCCCCACATCACACGGAATGTTTGCGAACCATACCACGAAGCTAATAGTTGCACAATAGTGGCATCAACACCTCGACGCAAGAGTTTATCAAACAAGGTCCAATGGTTAACCCGGTCAAAAGCCTTTCGAGCATCAAGAAAACAAACAAAAACAGGACTACTGTTTCGAAGATAATGATCAACAATTTCTTTGAAAGCAAAAACAGCCATATCAGTGGAGTGTCCATCCTTAAAACCGAACTGATGGTCACTCGTAAGGGAGGGCAGTCAGCGTCAGACTGAGAGAGGGCAGTCGGTGTCAGACTGGGGGAGGGCAGTCGGTGTCAGACTGAGGGAGGGCAGTCAGCGTCAGACTGAGAGAGGGCAGTCGGTGTCAGACTGGGGGAGGGCAGTCGGTGTCAGACTGCGGTATGTCAGACACAAGATTATCGGCAAGATTGCAACATTACCGATCAGCTCAATAACATTTATAACTTCGTCGCATTCCTTCTTGCTCCCTGATAAATCACTACAAATGCTAAATGCAGTTTTTATACGGGTAGACAGCAGCTGATCATTGTATGTAACATACACTTATATCAGTCCATCTTTCCAATCAAACCTGTAAAAAAAAAAATCACTGCGCTTGCATCACGCCCCACTACCCGTTATGATAAGGAGAGTGTTGTTTCGGTATTACTTACCGAACGCTAGATGGCAGGCCGGGCGCTTGGACACGCCATGTCAGCACACCCGTCAAAAATGGGTGTTTTTATTCATTTTTCTCTCTCTCTCTCTCTCTAATCTACGGTGCTACCCTTCAGTCAGCGAAAGACGTCCCCACAAAGCCTTCAAAATGGAATTTAACGTACCAATAAAACACATCGCCATAAGTGAAAGATCCGCGAGCGTCAGGTCCTGATACCGAATACGCCCTCACCAGCTGCCACGCCGGGAACAGCTAATGCAAAACTACGCTCAACAGACCCAAGTGTCCATCAGCAAAAAGCGAAAACCAACTCCGTGAATTATGAGCAAACAGTAGACAAATGCCCTATGCCATTGGGCGCAAGACCACTCGTCTTCGGCCTGGGCTTCAGCCGGCCTGCGCAGAAACCACTCCAACCGCTCGGTGGTAACGAACAGCACGGTTATCACCCTCCAAAACCCATTCCCCGTCCGAGGTTGATAGCCTTTACGAAAAAAAATGCATTTTGTAACGACAAACCTGACTACCGATTATTGTATGGTACCAGATTGGGATAAGTTCTTTGGGTCACGAACATCACTGGTTGTATCGTGCAGAATCCGCTGGTCTTTGGACTGGGTCCGAGAGACCCGTGTCGCCAGAGGCGGAGCGGGGCGCGCTGAATACTGACCTGTGCCGGTCGCTGAGCACTGACCTGTGCCAGTCGCTGGTCACCCTGCACAGACCTGTGCCGGTCGCTGAGACCTGAACTGACCTGAACTGCCACTGAGCACTGTATAACTGACTTGTGCCGGTCGCTGAGCACCCTGTTCTGACCTGTGTCGGTCGCTGGGAGCACCCTGTACTGACCTGTGCCGGTCGCTGGGAGCACCCTGTACTGACCTGTGCCGGTCGCTGAGCACCCTGTACTGACCTGTGTCGGTCGCTGGGAGCACCCTGTACTGACCTGTGCCGGTCGCTGGGAGCACCCTGTACTGACCTGTGCCGGTCGCTGAGCACCCTGTACTGACCTGTGCCGGTCGCTGGGAGCACCCTGTACTGACCTGTGCCGGTCACTGAGCACTGACCTGTGCCGGTCGCTGGGAGCACCCTGTACTGATCTGTGTCGGTCGCTGGGAGCACCCTGTACTGACCTGTGCCGGTCGCTGAGCACCCGGCTAACCAGGCCGCACTGCAGCGCCTCTTGGGAGCCGAGCCGGCGCGCCGTCAGACACAGCTCGTTCACCAGACTGCGGCTGCCGATCACCTTCGGTAGTCGCTGCAGGGTGCCCACGTCGGCCGCCAGACCTGGGAGCGCGGGGAGGCAGAGGTCAGACAGACCTGGGAGCGCGGGGAAGCAGAGGTCAGACCTGGGAGCACGGGGAGGCAGAGGTCAGACCTGGGAGCGCGGGGAGGCAGAGGTCAGACAGACCTGGGAGCACGGGGAGGCAGAGGTCAGACCTGGGAGCGCGGGGAGGCAGAGGTCAGACAGACCTGGGAGCGCGGGGAGGCAGAGGTCAGACAGACCTGGGAGCACGGGGAGGCAGAGGTCAGACCTGGGAGCGCGGGGAGGCAGAGGTCAGACAGACCTGGGAGCACGGGGAGGCAGAGGTCAGACCTGGGAGCGCGGGAGGCAGAGGTCAGACCTGGGAATACAGGATTAGAGGTCAGACCAAGACAAAGCTAAGGCAAACCAGGGGTCTATTGGTCGGATAGAACGAAAGGTCATAAGCCAGACCAATCTGCATAATGTGTGCAAACGGTCGTAGCTCAGACGGACCATGGATGAGATAATACTGGATTGGTGTCTTAGCAGTTGTTGGCGACATTGAGCTCAGGCTTGCCATCTAGGTTACCACTACCTAACGATAATTCTCTCGCTAGATGGCAGACCTGATCCCAATGTCTATCTAGCTTACCACTAACTAACGATAACTCTCTCGCTAGATGGCAGGCCTGATCCTAATTTCGCAGATTCCTGTGTTAATTTTCACGAGACACCAATCCAGTGTTATCTCATCCATTGACGGACCAAAAGGTCACAAATGAAACAGACCAGGAGGCTACAGGTGAGACAGATCAAAGGGTTGCCGGCTAGACAATGCTTGGAATAGAATAGTGGGGGATACTGATCACCTGGGCTCCAGTCAGACTGGATGTCGCAGGTGAGATAAGACAGCCAAGACATTGTTACACATGTATGTATGTATTGACTTCATGACAAACCATTCCATATACAAATAATGGCTATTTTTGGCGTCGAGTCCAATGAAAAACATGAAAAACAAAATGCATAACATCGTAAAATACAGTTAGCAACAGCCCAGTAACCCACATGCGACTTTACCAGTACACTGCCAGCCGCCGGATCGGTCGCACTCAGCATCCAGCAGCCCTTCACTCGCACTGTATGTACAGTGTACAACCCTCTGCGGCCCTCAGCCGCCGCTCTGGCCCCCACTCACCGATGTCGACCTCCTTGACCTGGAAGAAGGCGTCCTGGGAGCAGAGTCGGATGTCGGCGGCCGTCACCAGGTCCACGCCGCCGCCCACGCAGCCGCCGTGGATGGCGGCCACCACCGGCTTACGGCACTGACCGGCGGGACGAGCGGTCAGGTACAGCGGGAGGTATAGCGGGAGGTGCATACAGCGGGAAGTATAGCGGGAGGTACAGCGGGAGGTACAGCGGGAGGTACGGTCAGGTGCAGCGGGAGGTGCGGTAAGGTACAGCGGGAGGTACGGTGGAAGGTACGGTGAGGTACAGCGGGAGGTACAGCGGGAGGTACAGTGAGGTACAGCGGGAGATACCGCGGGAGGTACAGCGGGAGGTACAGCTGCAGGTACGGTGACGAACAGCAGGAGGTACGGTGTGGTACAGCGGGGATGAGGTAAGGTACAGCGGGAGGTACAGCAGGGTAATGCGGGAGGTACAGCGGGAGGTGCATACAGCGGTAAGTATAGCGAAAGGTACGGTGAAGTACAGCGGGAGGTAAAGCGTGAGGTACCGCGGGAGGTACCGCGGGAGGTACAGCGGGAGGTACCGCGGGAGGTACAGCGGGAGGTACCGCGGGAGGTACAGCGGGAGGTACAGCGGGAGGTACATACAGCGGGAGGTACACCAGGAGGTAAAGCGTGGGGTACAGCAGGAGGTACAGCGGGAGGTACAGCGAGAGTGGGGACACGACGGTGGGTACAGACAGCGTAATGCACGCAGTGGATATGAAGGAGAACGGCACCTTTCAACATCGTCGAAAACGACTAAAAAACAGCAAAATGGCAATAAACAAATGCTTTTTAAAGAAAATGCGTTCTGCATGGTTGTGGTATATAATTAGTTATATTTCATGAGCATCTGGACTCTTGCGACATTACCAACGGACTCGGTTATCGCATCAACAATAATTGTCGTCACAAAGCAGCCACCCTCCGGTGAGCTGCCGGGAGACGTCCCGCTGCCCGCGCCCACCACCCACCCGTTCCAGGTCGGTGATCCAGTCCTGGAAGCGTTTGATGATGGGGTGCATCTGGAACGCCTTCCTGGCGGCGTCGCCGTCGCCCATGGCCAGGCCGCCGAGCGCTGCCAGGTCGGCCAGGTCGATACCGGCGCAGAAGAGGCGGCCGGCGCCGCTGAGCACCACGGCGCGGCACGCCGGGTCCTCGTGCAGCTGCTGGAAGCACACGCCCAGGTCCCTGCGACAGGGCGGCGCGGCACAGCCGTCAGCTGGGGGCCACATCTGTCACCGGGACTGGGTGCTGGGGTGCCGCGAGAGAACACTCGTGAGCGGGTATCGTATGCCAGAAAATGGTACTGACTACTGAACACAGCATGGCTTTTTAGCATCGCCCTGCACTGCAGCCCTGCTGTGGTGGGTATGCTTATAACTATGTAGCATGTGGTGGATCAGTCTGATAGACCCAGTGAATGCAGGCTTAGCTGAGAATGCTTACATTTGTCAACTTAACTAGCATCTGAGTAAAGTAATTAAAAGTTCTTCAAGTCATTTTCAAGTCGTTTCATTGCAAGGCTGAAAAGGTCTCATCATCATTCACAAAGTTAATTAATTATCTTCATTTTGATTGCATCACCATACTGAACACTTACTTCCACATTTCCTTGTTGAGGGCATTGAGCTTTTCTGGACGATTCATTTCCACGTGAACAACATACTCTGATGGCTGAGTTACATTCAGGGTCTTGTACTGGGCATAGTCAGCCAGTGAACTGGACATTCTCACTGTCTGCCTTAGCGCAGGTTGAGCTGCAACAAAAGAACAGCATTGGTCAGCAATCATAGCAATGTCATGACAGTACCTCAAGCATTCTATTGGTCAGCAATCATAGCATTGTCATGACAGTTTACCTCAAGCATTGTAATATTATGCCCTAGCATTGATCCTCTTGCTAAAAATTCCGAACCATTCAAAGAACTGAGGTTTTAGATTAACGTGGTACCAGTTATTTTGCTAGAAATGCAACCTAAGATTTCATTAAAATTTTAGCAAAATAGCAACAAACACAAGGTTCAGGCCTCTTACATCACCAAGTCAGGTCACTTGGGAATCTACCACAGCCAGTTTGAATTGTACTTCTTTGCTGATTGAATTGTATGTCATGGTTTGTGCCATAAGCACTGCTTAGTAAATGATTCATTGAATTAACCCGGCAGGCGGTGGGCCTCTCGGCCATCTTCCACGCGGTGGGGGGGGGCATCTTTTGCCCCCCGTATCTCCGAAACTATTGGACGGATCCGTAAAATTCAAACGGCGTTCGATAGCCCTGTCAAATTTGTCAAGTGACACCAAATTTTATTGACCTCGGGGTCACCGATGACGTCACAGGTCAGGTCAAAGATAAAATGTTTCACCGTTCACAGGTCTTTTAGGGAATGCGCTATCACCGAGTAAAACGCATTTTGTCGAGAATCAGCGATAGGGCGTCAGTTGCCTAGTACATATGTTGCTATTAAAGGTCACTGATAATACCAGGCCAGGTCACAGGTCAGGTCACCAAGGGTCAGCACATGAACCCAACTTTACTTGGGTTGTGCGATGCATGTTTTATGGCCAATTTTTCATTTCCAACTCGATGGTGTTGGTTATAAGACCATGAGGTACGGTTTGGGTCACTTTCTGGTGGAGGTCAGGTCAAAAAAGGTCAAAAAAGGTCAAATTTCAAAGTTGATAGTTTTGCATAAAATAGGTATTGATTCGATGCAGCTGAATAAGTTTTTTATTTGGAAACCCAATACCTCAATACTCTTAGCGCACCCTAGCTTCATGCCGTGAAACAAAGCCGAAGCCGTAAGTTCCGGGGCCACAAAAATCGGCAAAGCAGTGTGTTCCAGGCTGGCGGGAGCCAGCGAGGGCCGGGCAGCGGAGCAGCACGTGCTCCGGCACGTCCGCCTCTTCTCCGCTCACGGTGTAGAGCGCCGCTGGGCACCGCTTGTCTGGGCACTGCTCACTGCTCAGGTACACTGATGAGTGGAGACAGCCGATTCGGTGCACGTACTGGAGCGAGGGACCCCAGTGGCCCGCCCTCATTTGGTGCACCGAAACGCCGGCCTATCGGTCCTCTCCAGGGATAGGGAGCGGCCGCGTGCTCCCAAGGAGTGGCTTGAATAGTGACATGGACCAGTTGTTGTGCCATTGATGCGAGACAATGAACCGCCCTGGGCCCTGTTTCACCGGTGATAGCAGCACGCTGCTTTTACACGTGTCAAATTGGGTTTCCATGGAAACATCAACAGGCCCAATGCTCCAACACTACCACAAGTGTGACGTCAGCTCGCGCAACTTAATAGCAGCGTGGTAGCAGCGTCCCGTGAAACACCGCCCTGATCAGCGAGCGGGCGTTTGAGGGCAGGCCGGCCGCCAGTTTCGCCAGGTCGTCCGCGCTCTCATTCCCCCTTGATACCGCAGTGGGCAGGAACCCACTGCAGTATTGCTTAACGACGCTCGGCGATGTTCAACAAGGGTTTGAGGGCAGGCCGGCCGCCAGTTTCGCCAGGTCGTCCGCGCTCTCATTCCCCCTTGATACCGCAGTGGGCAGGAACCCACTGCAGTATTGCTTAACGACGCTTGGCGATGTTCAACAAGGTCTTCCATACCTATCTCCACGCCGAGGGTTGAGGCCTTACCTGGGTGGCACTGGCCGCTCCTCCACTGAGTAGACTCAGGGCGGCTCACCAGTTCGAGCACGTGACGACCGGGGTGGGTACGTCTTGTCCCGAAACCTCTCCAGAGCCGCCCGCGGGGCGAATCTGCTGCTAGATTGACCAGCGTACCGGATATATTCGCTGACCGTCTTTCGCCAAAAAAATATGTGACCGCCCTGCGCCGAAAAATTTGTCCCACACCATGCGCTGAATTCGGCGCATGCGAAGTTACGCCGGAAGTGGGCTGAAATTTTTGGTGCAATCCCGTCGCTACGCCAGACATATTCAGCATAACGTGTATTTTTTCCAGTCTGGCAACAGGTGGCAGTGTCCACCAATAGCCCTACCAGATGCAGGTTAAAACAATGCAGCTGAGTATCTTGAAAAATAAGAGTATCTTGAAAAATAAGCAAATACCCATAGCAATAGCATTAAAGGGACCCTCCCACCTTCAAAAAAGTTTATGAATTGGCATGAAAGTGATGTCGCTCGGTTCAGAAAGAGCGAAAACGAATATCTACCAAATTTCACCGAAAAATATTCACCGGTTTTCAAGATATTAGACTTTTACTTTTGTTTACTTTTTGGGATCTCCGCTGTTCCTAGCGACTTTATTTAAAAGTGCGGCATTTGTTGCGCGCAACGCAGCATATACCACCGCGTGCTACAAAACGTTTTAGTCAAACATTTAACGGACGTTCGAAAGCCTGATGATGTCATCAGATTCCCGTAATGGTTAAGAGATAGGGACCACGCTGGTCCCACCCTGCAAGTAAAGGGAAGAAATTTCTTGAACACCATAAAGCTGCGGGGGTTGCGACCAGGATAAATGGTGGTTTCTGAGCCTGGCCGCAAACTTGGCTATCTCAACTCAAAACTAATGTTAAGGTGGGAGGGTCCCTTTAAATTAAAAATATGTATCAGAGACACCATGACCAGGTCCATACCAAGTCAACCAGAGACAACAGCAGACAGGTCCCAACGGTATTTGTCAAGATAAGGTCCGATCTACAATTGAGGCGCTGTTGATATGAACACGAAACAGCGGAAATTTTAGGTTGTAATTAGGTTAGTTTGTAGGTTAGTAGGTTTTAGGTTGGTAGGTTGACGGTTGTTAGGTTGTAGGTTTGCAGGTTGTAGGTTGGTAGGTTGTAGGTAAGTAGGTAGATAAGGTGGTAAAAGTATACATTGAGTCCGAGTGACTGTTAAAAGATAAAGTTTTCATATTCTTACATTATTTGACATCCTGAGTGCTGTTCACGGGCACCTGCGGTGACTGCGGTAGCTGCGGTAGATCGCAGGCTGAAAGTCCCGCCCACTTGTGTATACGTCATCACGCGTTCGTCTGCGGCGGCTGTGTCAATTTTGCGCCCAAGTAACACGAATGCGCAACTGCCGCGCCACTTTGTATGACAAATGGTTCCTGCGGCCGCTGCGGTCGGATCGTTTCGACCGCAGGAGACGCAGGCGACCGAAGCCGACCGCAGCCGTATGACGTCACACCACCTGCCCCATCCCCACTTTCTGTGACGTCATTACCCGGCTGACCGCCGAGCCGCAGCTACCGCAGCTACCGCAGGTGCCCGTGAACAGCACTCTGAATCCAAAAATGATACTTATGTGTCTTGGAAATAAAAGAAAAAACATAATCAAACCTGACCTAACCTTACCTATTTACCTACAACCTACCAACCTACAACCTACAAACCTACAACCTAACCTAACCTAACCTACAAACCTACAACCTAAAACCTAAAACCTACAAACCTACAACCTAACCTAACCTAAAACCTAAATTTTTTGCTGTTACATATTTGTATCAACAGCGTCACAATTGTCCATTCGGACCTAATATATACTAATACCGATAAGGTTAGGTCAGGTTTAATTATGTTATTTTTATTTTCGAGACATGTAAGTAGCATTTTTAGATTCAGGATGCCAAATAATGTAATATTGTGAAAAATTATCCTTGAATTAAGACTTTATCTTGGCATTTACTGGTCCCAACTTCCCACAGGCCACAAAACATAATCGGAACCCCATTGTAATAATAACAAATCAATTACCTGACACTCAACAACACATACTAGACTACAAGACAAGTAGTGAAATAATTAACTTACCTAGTTTTTGCATCAGCATCATTGTTTCAATTTAAATTCTAGTTTGACCTTGGAAGAATTTTTCTCTGAGCTGAATTCGCTTATGGCAGGAGCGTATACTAATATGAGGTTTTAACCAGGGCTGCGGAGTCGGAGTCGGAGTCGGAGTCGGTCGGAGTCGACAGTTGTGACCGGAGTCGGAGTCGGAGTCGGAGTCGATTTTAGAAACCCGAGCCGGAGTCGGAGTCGGAGTCACCGAAAATCTGTCGACTCCGCAGCCCTGCTAGGTCTGCGGAGTCGGAGTCGGGAGTTGGAGTCGGTCGGAGTCGACAATTCTGCCCGGAGTCGGAGTCGGAGCTGGTTTTTGAAAGCCGGAGTCGGAGTCGGAGTCGGAGTCGCCGAAAATCCATCGACTCCGCAGCCCTGGTTTTAACTATATACAATATACTTTGTGTGGCACACAGCAGTCCTTACAACTCACAATAGGATACAATATTTTTGGACGACGGTGAAAACAGGGCGCCTGGGGCGATTTGATCAAGGTTCGTTAAATTTACACGTGACGTTTGGCATATAGAAGGCCTATAGAGCGGGAGAAGTTCCAAATGTCACGTGACTAATATGCCCTCCGGCGCCCTGTTTTCACCGGCGTCCATATTTTTATTATGACTGTATATTGTGCCACAACTGCAACACACCAAGGCCGTGACTTGGCCGTGACCAAGGCCGTATAAGTTAGGTAAGATCGTCCGGGCTCGCTAATGTTACAAATCTGCAACACTACGGTGACGTCACCGGAGCATACGCTCCCTGGCTCCATCCGGACCCTGATGCGGCCGCTGGAATCGCTGCTAATCGAAAAATTACTTGTGCAATAGCGCTTTTAAATGACTTTAAAAGGGGGGAAAATATGATAGCAAAATAATAATGAGAATCCCTTGTCCTGACTGGGATTGTATGACCCGCCACCTATCGGACAACGTCGTAATTAGGGTTGAGTTGGCGATCGCCAGGTGGCTTGTCAGTAAGCTGTCAGCCGGACAGGAGAGGGGCCGTCAGGCTGTAAACGCCAGATCATGCTCAGGAAAATGCGACACGCTTAAGAACGGTCATTTATCTCGAAAAAGATGCGGTGCCCTGTGGTGATATGGCCCACATGACTCGGGACCCGTAAGCCGTATACGGCCTACGGGTACCCTCCCGAGTCATCAGGGTCCTTATAAGGCCCCTGTGGTCACCGGCAGCTCCCAAGGCCCCTACGGACGCGATACATGCTTCGAAAATCGCTAGACAAAGGACTCAGGGGCGCAGCCAAGGGGGAGGGGCACACTAGGGCTTTAGCCCCTCCCAAATCTAGCAGGCGCCCTCTGGAAAGACGCCATCCAGGCGCCGAAGGCGCCCTGGATGCAGCGCCTTCCACGATCATTCTGTGCGCCGATGGCGCCTTTTCAGTGTCCAGCACTCTAGTCGCCCTCGACGGTAAGCCATTGCGACGTCATCATGCGGTACTGGCGCCCAGATTTACAATTTTATATCTCTTTGTGGGTGAAGATGCACCCACAATCCTGAAATGCCGGATATCCACTCCCAATCACCTGACCATCTAGCGCCCTCGGCTCACCTTCAGCGCCCTTCTGTCTGCTCGGCGCGCTTCTGATCTGTCGGCACCCTTCTCGCCCTTCAGCGCTCTCCTGGCCTGTCGGCACCCTCTTCACATTCGGCGCCCTCCGGGCAGACCAGTTAGCGCCCTCATGGACATTATCACACAGCATCCTCCTGATCTGTCTCGCCCTCCACACTTGTCAGCGCCCTCCTGACCTGGCAGCGCCTATCGTATTATAGCGCCCTCTTCACCGTACAGTGCCCTCCTGACCTGTCGCAGTCCTCACTGTATAGCGGCCTCCTAACCATACAAAGCCCTCCAGACCGGCTCCTGCTACGTTCAGCGCCCTCCTGACAAGTCGGTGTCCTTTTCACCGTAGACGGCCCTTCTGACCTGTCGGCGCCCTCCTGACCGTACATTGCCTTCCTCACCTTGTCCGCGCCCTCCTCTTTATACAGTGTCCTCCTGACCTGTCAGCGCCCTCTTCACTCGTATAGTGCCCTTCTCATCGTACAGCATCCTCCTCACCATGGGCGCCCTCCTGACCTGTCGGCGCTCTCCCCACCATACAGCGCCCTGCTGCCTTGTCGGCGCCCTCTTCACGGACAGCGTTCTCCAGATCTGTCGCAGCTCTTATCACCGTGCAGTGCCATCCTGACCTGTCAGCGCCCTCGCCTCACGCCTGTCGGCGACATCTTCGCGTTCAGCGCCCTCCTGACCAGCCTGCGCCTTTTGCAACGCATAGCGCCCTCATCACCATGCATCGCCCTGCCGACCAGTCAGCGTCGCCGTTCATCGTACATCGCCCTCCTGACCTGTCGGCGCCCTCCTCACAACACACCGCCCTTCTGAGCGGTAAGCGTTCTCCTCACCATGCAGACAATGCAACACTTTACAATTAGGAAAGCGTTAAGTAGCCTTTGCTTAACCCTCGCCGGCACAGGCCATTTTGCGTCATTCGACGGCAGGGGGGCTGGTACGACCCCCCCCCCCCCTCGCGCCTCTGACAGCTTCGTAACATGTTACGAAGGCACCAAAACTACTTCGTAAATGTTCAAATGGTTACTAAATTCGAAATCAGCTCCAAAAATTAGCCTAGAAACATGTAAAACTTGAAAAAGTGAACCGAGGTCACCAAAGGTCAATGACCTGACCTGACCTTGGTGACCTTGACATCCACCCTAATGCATAAGAGCAACATCAAATCACATGTTTGAACATTTGAAACCACGAAAAGCTTGCAAACGCGCGGCTAATGCGAGCCGACATACGCCGAATCGCGATTCCGGCCAAACATGGTCTCGGAAAGTAGGTCACAGGTCAAAGGTCATTTGGGTCAGGGTCATGAAATTTTCAGGGTAGGTGTACAATTGATCAATGCGAAGGTACTGAAAGTTTCGTCACGATCAGCCGCTTTTTACGCGAGTTATTCGCGAAAAACCTTAGGGGGATTGCATCAACTCAACTCCCTGTGCCGGCGAGGGTTTAAGTGATTTTAGACGCAAAGTAGTAATGAAGCAATTTCCGGAAAGTAAAAGGATCACAACGTTTCCAGCGTTTCCGGAACGTTTCCGGAAAGGAACTTGTTTACAACCGTGACCCTCAAAATCGTATTCAGGGCCAAACTTGCGGGGAAGGCCAGCTGACAAGTGTACGCCCCGGTGACGTCACGAAAAATGTTAAACAGTCGGGCGCCCGGCACATAGGAAAGCTCGGGATGACAGCCCCCTGGCCGTGACAGTCAAAGTCGTAAACAGGGAGCAGAAAGGCAGGATTTTGCCTCTGCAAAAAAGGTAATTCTTCAAAGAAGAGCAAAATTTGGCGAGAATAAAATATGTTGGAGCATTTTTATGATATAAGGTATTTTAAGTTCAAACAAAAGGACTCAGCAGTCTTGTCTGAAGAGATTAATCCCCTATAAAATGACTTTATTTATGAAAAAAGAGTTAGAAATAATAAATACCTTTTTCACCTTATGAAGGAAATGCCTTACTTTTCCCTCACGAAGTGTAGCCCGTTCTTTGGCGCTCTACTGACAAACAATCTCACTGATCGCAATCCCAGAGCAAATCAATTGAGAGCTTTTTACAGGCTGCTAGACTTGATACTAATCGAGTTGCTAGGCAACGCTAACCGGTATGGTCATCCTAGAATAAGAATTACTACCATATTGTTTTCCCATAATAACAACCAAAACCACATTCCCCCAACATTTTGACGAAAATTTTGAGGACGACGGTGAAAACAGGGCGCCTGGGGCGATTTGATCAAGGTTCGTGAAATTTACACGTGACGTTTGGCATATAGAAGGCCCTTGGAGCGGGAGAAGTTCCAAATGTCACGTGACTAATATGCCCTCCGGCGCCCTGTTTTCACCGGCGTCCAATTTTGACCATTCACACCAAGATTCACACAGGATAAGGCCTTGCATTCACGTGAGCTCACATCAAATGGTTGATCCCCGGCGGTCGTAGCTGGTAACCATATGAGACATTTCTATCCACAGGCAGTGAATAGATCGTTATTTAGGTCGTAACTGAAATAGAGGCAAGGAAATATGTTTGTCTTGCTCTATGCCTAGCATGTGAGGTGTACCCTATTTTATTTGCGTTTCAGTTTCAGTTTCAGTTTAGGAATTTGAATTGGGGTTAGATGGTGAGGTGGGGCTGTGTTTCCACTCTGACTCCACTGCCCTGCAGATGTTTTGTTTTCAAACACCTTACAATATATTTGTGGATCTCAGTTTGATCCTAAATAATGAGCATCTGGCTAATCATCTTCATCATCATATGTAACACAATGCTCAGTACTAGCATCTCCATCCTCAAAAAGATCTCAGTATGACCCTCCCAGACTTCCATTTCACAGATGCGCGTATAGTTGCATCATATTCACATTCAGATTCACGTTCAGATTCGTTCTGAATATCGATCATTTTCATCGACATTCAGATTCGTCCCGAATATCGATCATTTTCATCGATATTCGCGGCGCGCATGCGCACTGCGAATATCGATGACCTTGAATGCACATTCACATTCGTTCCGAATATCGATCAGTTTCATCGACATTCAGATTGGCGGCACGCATGCGCACTGCGAATATCGATGACCTTGAATGCACATTCAGATTCGCCCCAAATGTCGATAATTTTCATCGATATTCGCGGCGCGCATGCGCACTGCGAATATCGATGAACTTGAATGCAACTCCCAGTGCCCTCCCCGTTCCGCCGCCTATGCCGCGGGAATTGATACCCCCCCCCCCCTGAATCTGAATGTCGATGAAACTGATCAACATTCGGAGCGAATCTGCATGTGCATTCAAGGTCATCGATATTCGCAGTGCGCATGCGCGCCGCGAATATCGATGAAAATGATCGATATTCGGGACGAATCTGAATGTCGAAAATGATGGATATTTGGAACGAATCTGAATGTGAATCTGAATGTGAATATGATGCAACTATACGCGCATATTTCACAGCCACTTTCAAGATAAAACAGATAATTATGGGCCTCCTGCTTCACTTGGTCGGCATTGCCGTATTTGGAGGCTGCACCTATTATGAAACATATCACCTGCTGGAGAATGCCAAACTGGTGCAAGATCATCCAGTCGTAAAGGAGCTTTTCAGTGTGCGGCCGCAATGGGGAGGACGATGGAAATTCCTCACTGTTTGGGGACTGGTAAGAAGTGGGGCTGGATGAAATTAGAATGTACCTATTGAATGAGCCTGTTGTTAATGTTGACATATGATCAAACAGAGTATCTAGTATCTTAGGACTTAGTATGACTTATAAAGAAACTGTTGTTGGAATAATTTATTTGTTTGCAATTATGTTACTTTAATATGCTGTTTTTCGTTATTTTGCTGTCTT